GATGATATTGATGGGGATAGCGCAGGGGAAGGGGATTGGGAAGGGGAACGGGAACGGGAAGGGAGAAAAGAATCAAAGGCTAACTGACCGCCCGCCCACGCATGATTAAAAACCGGAATTTGGGCCAGGACTACGACAGGACGGGGTGGCAGGAGTGCACCTTTCAAGTTGAGTAAATGAGCATTGAAGCGTTCAAGATTATCAATATGCATGAATGGTCGGTGGTCGGAGGGGGAGGATGAAGGAAGGGGCGATCAAATTGTAGTTAAGTTCAAGTGGACACCGAATCCAGGGACTGGGGGCTGCCTCTCTGACATGGGTTTTGTGTGATTAAGTGAGGGAATTGGTGGAGTGTTGCTGTTCCACGTCTCTAAATGAAGTATTTACCCGCTCGTTTGAGCAGAGCCACAAGAGATACTCAGATACGTATCTTTCTACTTAATCATGTGCATGCTTGAGATACTTTCCGCCCGGCGAACCACTCAATTGAGCGGTCTCCGCTCCTCTGTAATGTAATTAGCCCTGCGGCCCCGCAACCATGGCAGCCCACCGCCAGAGGCGCAGGATCCGATCCTTCTCTACGGTCTTGAAGTGTCACTCCATTGATATGGGCTCATCTTTTCCATGTGCGTCGCATACTGTAGTAGTAGTATTCAACATTTCACACCTGTCCATTATCCCAGCCACCAATCCGGCATTCCACTTGGCACAAAATTTGATAACCACAGAAACATGCAAAAAGCATTTCAACTTTTGCCCAGCCAGGTAATTCGGCAAATAGGTAAAATGCTTACCAAATCCTCGCTCCTCACTCCCCTACCCCTCCAAAGGAGGAGAGATGAGATGAGATGAGATGAGGCGAGATGAAACACTCTACTACACATCGCACTCTCTGCCATTTACATGGAAAACTTTTCCATGTCGAATCTTTTCCGACAACCAAAACTTTTTCAAGTTTTACGATGCCACATGCCGCTGCCGCATGCCGCTGCCGAATGTCGTTACTGATGTGCATAGATGGAAATTATTAAAGAGCTCAAAAGGGAGCTCTGGTCTGGGCAAGGGCGTCCCATTATGATTTATTCATTTCAATTGACCTGCCAAGCCTAATCCGATTATGCGATTAGATGAATTGGTATTTTGTGGGCGAAAATGGAAGAAATGCATTCGAATTTTCGAATTTTCGAATTTTGTGGCAGTTAAAGGCATTAAATGCGTAATTAGAGCATCGTTTTTTCCATTACAATCATAATGGCGGACAGACATAGAAAAATGGGACAATTAAATGGCAGCCAAAACATTTTTCCGCATAAGTCCCCCCCGATCCCCGAGCCCCGAGGCATCAATCAGCTGCAGGAACAGCAGCAGGAGCAATTATCGATTGAATGCGGTTCCGTTCTCCGGCTCTAATTGCTAATGAGAATGTGGCTTAAAAAATGCAATTCAATTGCGTTGCGATGCGATGCGATGCTATACGATTATACGATACGATTCGTTTCGTTTCGTTTCGATTCCTTTCCTATCCGTTCGATTTTGCATTTTGCATTTGCTTGCACAAACATTTCACATTTCACATTCGGTCAGTGCAAATGATTGCGCTTGATTGGACGGCAACAAACTGCGGCATCTGTGGCAAGCACTCAAGAATCTCTGTTGTGCCTGGGACTGGGACACTTTTTGGTCAGTTGCCAGCAATTAAACGCATTGTACGGCATTTCAACTTGATGTGATTTCCATACTGCCATACTGCAGGCCCAAAAGCGGCCATTCGAAAGGAAATTATTGTTAGAAGCAGCCATGTCGACTCCGTAGATGCTCTGCGGAGTAAAGGGTCTACGCGGGCCCGCAATCGAGTCAAGAAATACCCCATCTGCAGAGCATAAACCTAGATCGAGTGAATACTACTGATGTGGTGACCAAAAGGAAGCCAGTTCCTGTCCCTCGGACAACGGACTATCCTCCAGTCCCGTACCAGGTATCCCTTCGTCGATGTTCTCGGCTCTAACGTTGTCCCTTGTTGAGTGCTGTGCTCGTAAAAGAAAGCCACACTGCAGAGAGAGAGGGAGGGAGAGAGAGTGAGCCCAGCAGGAAGTGTTGTAATTCGCACTTTGCCACACACACACGCACATGGCCCCAAAACACACTGCGGCTATCACTTCGTATACTTGATATCGAAGGGGAGGAGCAGGATGATATCTACGCACAACATTCTGCTGTGCTAGCCTTGGTTTTAATTGTGGTTGCTTTTGTTGTCTGTTGGCTCATAGCTGAAAAATATGTACATATATGCAGGATATGAAACGGTTTATGTGGCATTATGGCCCAGATATCCCTCCCTTTTTGGTGTGTGCCAGGGCCAGGGCCAGGGACGGGGCTAGGGATTTTACGGCTGGCCCCTTCCCAGCCGCAATCCCCGCTCTCAAATGCTAGTTATGTATTCTGGCCAAAATATTCGTCTGCAATTAAAAACATTTTCAAGTCGTTTACTCTCGCTCGCTCGCTCGAGAGAGGTGTGAGCAGGGGGGTGGGGCGGGGGGGAGGGGAAAATCTGTTGGCTTTTGCTGGCAATTGCTGACCAATTTTGTGGATTTGGGTTTATGCATTTATTGGAATTTTTATGGCCTACTTTTATGGCCTGCGGAGTAACAGGAGGATGGCATGACGGGTGGCGGGTGGCGGGTCAGAGATCCCAAATTGGTTTATGAATATTAAAAACAAGAGGATTCGGGGGGTAAATGAATATAGTTAATACTGAGATTAGTCCGGAATATAGAAATCCAGTTAATTGGAGGGAAATCCATGCGGACGGCCCGACGCCAACCCTTCCAGCAGAATGTGCCTGGGAAAATCAATTAAAAGCAAATGCCTGGCCCTCAATAAATAAAACCCCAAGAGCCCAGGCCGAAGCCCAATCTAAGCCCAAACATTTAGTTTAGTTCGAAACACTTTGCCTATGAAAACTAATCGAATTTGTGTGTAAAGTCGAAATGAAATCCTCTTTGCTTTCGAGCCCGGTCCCTGGCCGAGCCCCGGCCCTAGGCCCCCTTTCGTTTATTCCTCGATTCCTGGACTTGGACCTGGATACCGCCACATCAGCAGCAGCAGCAGCAGCAGCAGCAGCAGCCGCAGCAGCAACAATTTCAAATTAATTAATAAAATTTTTGCTTTCAAACAAACAGCAAACTGCAAATAGAGGAGACCCTGGGAGAAGTCTTGGCCCCGTACGGAATTTTGGTCAAGAAGTTGCGTGTGCCAAGGCGGCCCGGCACGTGTGTGTGATGTCCATCCCTCAACCCTCGGCCCTCGACAGTGAACCCTCAAGACTGGCTGCCAGAAAGCCGGTTGAAAGCCAAACCAAATAGCAAATACTTCAATAAACGAAATTAAATATTTGTGCATGGAAAGAAACATTTTGATCGGGCCAGAGCCGGGCCGGGCCGGGCCGGGGGAAATTGAAAAAGAATCGAACATTTTATGCCTCGAATCGGCAACAAATTAAATAAGTGCTGCAGAAAGTTTGCCATCTGCAAATATTTCAGCAAGTCAACGCAAATATACAATATTAATTTTCCATTATTGTCGGGATTGTTTTTTTTTTCAAAAATTTTTGGCTTTTTGGTAGATTTGTAGATATTTTTATATTGCGGTCATCGCCTGGTAAGTTCTCTAAGCCACACTCTCTGGCTATTTGCTATTTGCCACTCGCCACCTGCCACTTCCCCTCGGCATTTGTCAAATATTTTGTTTGGAAAATTGTTTAACTTTTGACCCCAACTCGGAACTCTTTCCTCGCTCAAATGTTTGACGCTCATTAGATGTTAATTGGGCAATTGTAAGCATCTTTGAGGCATCTTTTGGCAAGTCCCCGCCTCGGGCCCACAGCCAACACCTTATTGATGTCCGCCCCATGATGGGAAAGGCGGCGGCAAGGGCAAGGGCAGGGGGCAGGGACAGGGACAGCGGCTGCGCGGCGTTGAATCAAACTAATTAGGCGCAAACTTAATTAATATTTGATGAATTATTTGACCTTTTGTCTGATTACCATGGCTGCTCGAAAGAAGAGCAAAAGGCACCGCACAACCTCTGGAAGTGGCCCTCGACATTGGCCCTGACAACCGACCGACCGAACGACCAGCCAGAAAGACAGAACAGACAGACAGATAAATAAAGAAAAACTTTTTAAGGATTTCTCTAAAATTGTGCTTCATTTGGCCGAGAGGAGAGGCTATGATAAGCTTGTCGCTAGGCAGGTTGGGGGCACCACCAAAAGGACACAAAATTATACCTATGGGTGCGGGGAGTGCGGCATGCGGAATGCGGCATGCGGCACGCGGCATGGTGCGCTGCGGTGCGCTGCGGTGCGGTGCAATTCAAATCATAAAACGGTAAGGTGAGACGAGGCGCAAAAGTTTTTTCTAATGTTTATTGGCGAAACTTTTGCATTTTTTACAACTTTTACAAAAAGTTTCCCTCGTAATTCTCTGTCGGTCTGTCTGTCTGTCTGTCTGTCGCCCTGTTGTTGCCTAGGCCCTGGTCTCCTGGTCATTTTGAAGTTTAAATTATACCCAGAGAAAGATAGAGATAGAGAGTGTATGGGCTGAGTGCCTGGAATCCAGCGATTGTCAGCACATTAGGCCTAAATGGAAGGAGAGAGAAGCCTTACTTCGAATTAAACTTTTATCGCATCAATTTGGAGACTTTTTCCCGCGTTGCCATGGCAAAGTTTCATTGTTGGAGAAATTCAGATATTAATTCGTTTATTTAAATTTGTCCGACTCCAAGTCGCAGATAACGCCACGACCATCCATTTCGGGGATGGTCCGTATTTCCCAGTTAGTCCACCATCCATTTTGGATGTTCCTAAGCCACACGTTTCTGTGCGATAGTTAGCCGATTGTTTTCAAATGCAACCCTGAATAATTGTCATTCACAAGGAAAAAGTGGAAATTAGTTGGCTGTGCATATCGTCTCATAGAGCCCCACATTCGAGACGTTCGCATTCAGCGTTCAGCTTTAGTTCAAATCGTATTGTCGGTCGAAATCTTATTGTGCTCAAACAAAATGTCTCCATCTGCTCTTGCCTTGGTCCTGTACAATGTACTCCTCTATTTGGTGGCATCGGATATCAAGGCAAATGTAGGAGGTAAGTGCTACATTTTATTCCCAAAGGTTTCGGGCTCTGAAAACCCCCTCTCGTTTCCAGATGAGGGCGACAGCCAGTATACCATTGTCCACCTCATAAAGACCGTGGGAAAGTGGATGATGAATGGCACAATGGATGAGACATCCAGCGAGTTCGGGGACATGTTTTGGACCATAAACGCTGGGGTAAACCTACTGCTACTAGTGCCGACTTTTGTCCAGGTATTTCACAGGAATTTCACTGATCAAAGAGCCACTGATTCAAGGGCCTCTTCCCCCATCAACAGCACCTCGGACTCCGAACCTGGATAGTGCCAATGGTCTATATCTGTAACTTGTTCGTCTTGCACCGCCTGCTGGTGTATTGCCTGCTAGCGGCTTTGACACTCTGGCGGCAGGAGATGTACAATAGTTTCTCAATGCTAATCGTCTGCAGCCTGTGCATGACTTGTCTTCACTTGGCCCTGATCTGTAGGTCCATGAAGTTCGCCGTGGTGGAATAAATCCTGAACAAGTCCTGACCTATGATCAAATGACCGTCTTTAAGTGGGTTACCGTGCCCGTGCCCGTGCCCGTTCCAGTTGCCCCGCATCCGACATCCGTCACCGGCTTAGCCTTGCCACAGCTACAAATACTGGGCCATCGGTTCAACTAATAAATATCCCAGAGAACGCACAGAGGTATCCTCAGATACAGGCACACACACACACACACACACAGATACTTGCACGAACATGGACAAATGAATCGCAGCTGAACTGTGGCAGAGGCTGGAGCAGGGACAGGGGCAGGGGCAGGGGCTGGGGCTGGGGCTGGGGCTGGGGCTGGGGCAGGGCAATGGGGAAATAAAACCATTAAATATTTGCGGTTAAACGCACCAAAAACAAACCGCACAAGTAAATCATATCCAGAGTAGACATCGGACATGCCAAGGAATTTCCTTTGCTCTACTCTTGTACGCAAAAATATTAGATTAGAAATTAGGATAGCCAAGGACATGGACAGGAATTGGGGCTGGGATTTGGATAGGGGATGGGGATGGGCAGGCAGCAGACCAGAACGCCATTTACTTGAGCATGCTGGGGGTGGGGGTGGAAACACGAGCAGGAAACCAGTTACCCAACGGCCTGCCAAAAATTCCAAATGGGCCTGGTCCATGGGCGAGATGCATAAATCATTGGAACTGACATTTCACCATTTCACTGGATTTGTATATATGCTAAAGGTTGTCCAAGTACCCAGAATCGGGGGCTGAAAGACGTCCAGGTCCCTCGTTCTCATGTGGGGTCGGGCGAGGGGAGAGAAATTTGCCTAAGAGATTTGTCGATTTCCTCAAACGGCAGGCCCAGCTCTCAAGTGGAAGAACTAGTTCTGTGAGCGCGCTCTATTAGTTCCGCACGGCGCCATCCCTAGTCCAGTGGCCGCGGGGCAGGGGCACCGCAACACACAAAAACTGAGCCACATAAATCATTTTGCAATTGAATGCGAACGACGCTGACGGACGTCCGACCAAAGTGGAGGAGGGCGCTGGGCCTATGACTGTGGACCGTAGCAAAAAGTCGACAGTGGACAGTCGACAGCAGCGGGTGGAGAGGCATTTCGATTTGGCTGGGAGTGGTGTGGTGTGGTGTGGGCTGTTCCTGGTGTTCTACTCGCAAGTGGGTCAGTCGAACGCTAATCGGGTTAAATGCTAGCTAAAAGCCTGCGTTCAGCGTCCGGCGTCTATCGGAGCTGCCAACTCTTTTTGTGGCGGGCAAGTGTTGGCTAACGCAGCAATCGAGGCGAAGCATTCTTAAAGAGTTGGCAGGACTGTCTGCTGTCCAGCTGTCAGCTGATTTGTCACATTTCATTTCATAGTTTGTGCTTTTCCATAACTTTCCGTAACACCGTAAAACAAAATGTCGCTGTGGAAACTGCTTCAAGTGTCGAGCGCCATCCGGTCCAGCGCGCGATCAGCCTCGTATCTGGGCAAAGTGAAGTACGACTACGATCTGGTGGTGCTGGGCGGCGGCTCCGCGGGACTGGCCTGCGCCAAGGAGGCCGTTGACAATGGCGCCCGTGTGCTCTGCTTCGACTACGTGAAGCCGACGCCCGTGGGCACCAAGTGGGGCCTGGGCGGGACCTGCGTGAACGTCGGCTGCATCCCCAAGAAGCTGATGCACCAGGCCTCGCTGCTCGGCGAGGCGGTGCACGAGGCGGTGGCCTACGGCTGGAACGTGAACGACCAGAACATCAAGCCCGACTGGCAGAAGCTGGTCAAGTCCGTGCAGAACCACATCAAGTCCGTCAATTGGGTGACGCGCGTGGACCTGCGCGACAAGAAGGTGGAGTACGTCAACTCCATGGGCGCCTTCGTCGACCCGCACACCATCGAGTACTCCGTCAAGGGCGGCCCCAAGCAGCAGGCGACCGCCGAGTATGTGGTGGTGGCTGTGGGCGGACGTCCGCGGTACCCACCGATCCTCGGAGCCACTGAGTTCGGCATCACCAGCGACGACATCTTCAGCTACGACAGGGAGCCCGGCCGCACCCTCGTGGTGGGCGCTGGCTATGTGGGCCTGGAGTGCGCCTGCTTTCTCAAGGGCCTGGGCTACGATCCCACGGTGATGGTGCGCTCCATCGTCCTGCGCGGCTTCGACCGCCAGATGTCCGAGCTGCTGGAGGCCATGATGTCCGAGCGCGGCGTCCAGTTCCTCCACACGACGATCCCCAGCTCAGTGGAGCGCCAGGGGGACGGGCGACTGCTGGTCAAGTACCGCAACACGACGACTGAGAAGGAGGACAGCGACGTCTTCGACACCGTTCTCTGGGCCATTGGGCGCAAGGGCCTCATCGAGGACCTCAACCTGCCGGCAGCTGGCGTGGAGACCAAAAACGACAAGATCGTGGTGGACAGCACAGAGGCCACCAACGTGCCGCACATCTTCGCCGTGGGCGACATTATCCACGGCCGTCCGGAGCTCTCCCCGGTGGCCATCCTGTCGGGCCGCCTGCTGGCCCGTCGCCTCTTTGCCGGCTCCAAGCAGCTGATGGACTACGCGGACGTGGCCACCACAGTGTTCACGCCGCTGGAGTACTCCTGCGTGGGCATGTCCGAGGAGATGGCCATCCAGACGCACGGCCCCGACAACATCGAGGTCTTCCACGGCTACTACAAGCCCACGGAGTTCTTCATTCCCCGTAAGAGCGTGCGTCACTGCTACCTCAAGGCCGTGGCCGAGATCACCGGCGACCAGAAGATCCTCGGGCTGCACTACATTGGCCCCGTGGCTGGCGAGGTCATACAGGGCTTCGCTGCGGCCCTGAAGTCGGGTCTGACGGTGAAGACCCTGCTGAACACGGTGGGCATTCACCCGACCACCGCCGAGGAGTTCACGCGCCTCTCGATTACCAAGCGCTCGGGTCGGGATCCCACGCCGGCCTCCTGCTGCAGCTAGATTTTACCCTAGTATTTTACAATGATTTCACAAAGAGTGGAATAAACAAGTCCAAAAAACTTTACAGTTTCCAGGGACTGCCCCCACCTCATTACAGATGGCAGAGTCAGAGTGCGTGCACCCTGTGGGTCCTGTGCCCGACACTCTCCAGGCCATGTAACACGTAACACATGCTCTGTTTCGGCTCCGGTCAGGGCCGGACCCGCTCTGGGGAGGACCCACCGGGCACTGCCACAAAAAGCGAACTCAAACTGACAATTTTGCGCAAAACGAAGACTAATTGTCTGGCACTTGACTGGCACACTTCACGCACTGCTTGAGGAGCACCCACAGGGCCCAGGACTGGACCTAGACCACGTCGCTCTCCCTCCCTCTCTCTCGCTGATGGACAGCACCCGAAACACACGTTCTGCTGATTTGACACTTCAATATAAATGACACCCCGGAAAAGCAGAGAGAGAGCGGAGAGAGAGGAGAGATCTGGGGGCGAATGGCTGGCAATTCTCAGGGCGTTTGCATTTTTGACATATGAAGTTTTAATTTATGAAGTTCTTCAAGAAGGGAAAAAAAACGCCGTTCTGTGCTACTTTTGGAGGTGGTCCCCGTTTTCATATCCGATTCGTATCTTTGACCCAGAATGGCGCCATAAACTGTGCCACAAAAACACACTCCCACACACACACACACAGAGGAAAACACTTTCCCGGGCTGCTCGTGGCATGCAACAACACAGGGGATCTCGGTATAGAAAAAATTTTGATTAATGTTTACTTCCGATTTGCATAAATCTTGCTTTAGCATTTTTTGGGGCCAATTTCGACTGCTCTCTCCCTTTCGGCCTCTTTCTTTCGGCCGTTGCTTTGTTATAAATTATTTTTTTATTGCAGCATCCAGCTCCGTCTCGTCGGAGGGCGAAGGACGAAGCACGAAGGACGAAGGACCGTATGGTCCCCGGTTAAATTGTTTGCCTCGGCGTTATTTATTCGTTTGTTTGTGCCGGTCATCAGGAGTGGCCACCGCCTGGCAGCCAGGTGACCAGGTGGTTCTCGTATCCGGGTCAAGGCGCCAGTGCAGTGGATGGCAGTACAGTCGCCGCTTTAGTGTTACAGCCATAACTTTTCGATTAGCTTTGCCAACTCATTTAACAAATGGTCTTTCTGGCTGACAGTAAGAAAATATAACAAATTCTATCCCCGAGAAAAGAAGAGAATCGCCTGCACTCGTGCTCGTAGTTTCCATTGCAACACCTTGGAATCATAAATTGTGACCTGACCTGACCGCCCCGAGATCCAGCTGAAGCTCCAGCATCAGCTGCAGCTGCTGGACATGGAAGGGCACGGGCACGGGCACGGGCATGGGGATCGGGGCACGGTGCACGGGCCAGTGAAAGTTTTGCTCTGCTCTTCCAAAAGTTGGGCTGTAAGTTAAAGCACCCGCGGGTAATTCGATAAAGCGTAAAATTTTGCACTTAAACTATTTTCATCTTCTGTTGCACCCCAGCAGCCAGCATCCAGCATCCAGCAGCCAGCAGCCAGCATCGGGTACCATCTTTCCCCATCGTTCTGGCATTTGGCAATTGCATTGTTGCTCCCATTATTGTTCTCCGGGTTTTCGGTTCTTGTCAGCTTGACCTGTTCCGGAGTGCCAGGAGCTGGAGCTGGAGCTGGAGCTGGAGAAAAGTCTTGAATTACAATACACTGCAAGTGCGGAAAGTTTTCTCTCTGATTGCGTGTCCAAGTGGCTGGGCCAGGGCCAGGGCCAGTGCCGAGTCGTTGCTCACTTTGTGGCCAACTGCCACACGGCTTGATTGAGTGCTCTCGAGTGCGAAACTGTACAGGAAATGTTTTCGGGAGCTGTAGCTGTAGCTGTAGCTGAGACATTGGCCAGTTAATCGGATGCGATATGGAAAGCAAATCTCGTTTCGGGACAATGGCAGGCGAGCCTTCCGGCCGCCCCTCGTTGGCTTACAAAATTGTGCAATCAGCGCCGGAACAAAAGCCTCTGTAGCCCACTTCCCTGCCTTGCCTCGCTCGCTGTGCCAATAGACTAAAGTAAATTAAGAATCTCATTTAAATTAATCCTCATTGAGGGTACTT